ACCAGCTCGCGCCCCGTACGGTTGTCGTGCAACACGACGCAGTCGCGCTTGATCGTCGCCATCGCGCGCGCGGCGCGCCGAGGCTGCAGCCCGAGCGCGGTCGCACTTCAGCGCCAAAATTGCTGCGATGGAGTGATGAGGCAACATGTGCGCGGACGAGGTGCTCATGATGAGGTGCGCTGCAGCGCATGTGAAAGATGAAGCGAAGAGCAACGATCACATCGAGCACAACAGTGATGACGAAGCCGCTGCAGCGGCATGTCTGTGGGAAAGGCTGATGTCAGCACCAATATTGTACAGTCGCTGCAGCGACGATGCTGGCGCAACGAATCGTTCCGCGCGCTGCAGCGCCGCGGCAAGTATCGCACTTCGCACCAACCCGCACACTGTTTACACCAATCGGAGGGCCACGCTCGGTGCCGTCATGTGCGCTCGCCGCTCCTTAAGCCCCCTCATCCTCCTCCCTATGCCAAACCTTACCCTGCCTCCTCCTCCTCCTCCTCCGCATCACCCCTCCCTCCTGCCTCATCCTCCCGCGTGGTCCCTCTATATCGCCAGCTCAGGCCGTCCTGAGCTTCTTGGCTGGCCGCGGCTGCAGCCGCGGCCACGGCTTCACCACCAGGAAGTCGCCCGCGGACAGGGCGCAAGTGTTATGCATCTGGGGCACCCCCACCTGCACCTTGTTGACGCCTGTCCCGAACGTCACGGTCTCCTTTCGGAGCTCCATGTTGGGCTCTGAGTCGGACTTTGCCACCACCCAGAAGGGGCTGACAAAGGCGTCGGGGCCCCGCGACCCCTCAGCGGGGGGCCCTGCGAACTGCGGGCCCACGAAGAACTCGTAGAGGCCAACCTTCCCCAACGAGATGCTCTCCGCAACGCAGCCCGTGCTGACCCGCGTGGACGAGGCTGAAATGCGACCACTCCCACCGCGTGGAGCTACATGGCGCGCAGTCGGTAACATCACTGACCTCGTCGCTACGGCCTGACGTGCCCCGAAATCCTCGCTACCTCGTGCTCAGCGCAGCGCTGCAGCGCGGCGTCGTCGGAGGGGGGCGCGGACGATTGCGGAAGCACAAGTCTGACGAGCTCACCCACTTTGAACGCTCGCTTGCAGCGCACGGCAGGTGGGTCCTGCAGGATCTCCAAGTGCAAAATGTTCGCCTGGTACTTCAGCGCTTGGAGCCGCAGCGCCATGTTGCATGCCCCCTTGAACGCGTCCATCGCCCAACCCTCGTGGGCTGGCGGCAAGTGCTCCTTCGTGAGCGGCAACTGCTCCTGCACCCTGGACGTCAACTTGTAATTCCCGAGCAGTATGTTTACTTCAATCCGCCCGCTCGGCTAACTGCTCCGTGCGCTGCAGCGCATCGACCAACCCATTGCAACTTAAGTGCAGGAAATACAGTATCGCAGTTACTACCTCCTCCTCCCCCCTCCCTGCCCCCCACGGGCGGCGGGGTGGCTGCAGCCACGCAATGGAGATCTCTTCGCCCACCAGGTCGCCGTGCAACTTCTTCTGAGCGGTGATCCCATTCTCCGAGATGGAGAGCACCTCGAATACGTCATCCACCTCCTTCTTCTGGACGATGTGCTTCCCCACGTCGAACCCTGCACGCCGCATGCGGAAGACGTTGCTCTTCAACTCAGCGGCCGACGACGCTGCCGCGCGCGGCGCGTCTGCATCGGCGCTCGCTGGGAACTCGGGTGCGCCATCGCCTTGCTTGTCGGTCTGCACCGCCTTGCCGAACTCGATCCCCAAGCTCTTCATCTGCAGCTGGGCTGGCCCCCCGAGCTCATGGAGGAAGACCTCTCTGGAGGGTCGCTGCAGCGACATTGAATGGCGAAAAGCAGGGAGGGAGGGAAACAAGGAGCACACGAAAGGTGGCGTGAGAAGATACCTGTGCTATATCTGCTACGCATCCGAAAGTGCGGTCTCCTGGCGCTCGCTTCTTCACCAGGTACATGGCACAGCGGACATCCAACTTTGTGATGTGCAAGAAGCCCTGCTCCGCTCCGATATCCAACCTCTTCACGAGCGACCTTGCGTCGGCCATGAGGTTGTCGGCCGCAGCCACGTCCGCCTTGCGGGACGCGACGTGGACGATCTCGTTTGCTTTGATCCGCCCATCGCTTCAGCGATTGCGTTTGGGAATAAAGCAATGTAACGGTGCGTGTGTGTGTGTGGGGAGGGGGAGGGGTGGGTACGCAGTTCTAACAATGCAGCGCAATGCATAGATGCGCTGCAGCGCATGTCACTACAAGGGGGCGCCGACAAGCTTATGGATGGTCCTGCACATGCTATCCACCACGTGCTCGCCTGAATAGTTGGCCTTCACGAGCGCCGCTACGACATGCGGGTACGACTCCTGGTGCTTCCCCCATTTAATCGAATTCAACTTGCGCCAGAATTCAGAGCCGCACATCAAAGTTTGCCCCGAGACGTCCACATTCGTGAAGGTCTTGAGGGCTTCATCTATTTCACGGAGAAGTTCTCCGTTTTGTGGCCCGAGCTCAACAAACTTGCACAAGTCAGCGATCCACGCCTTGCAAGGTGGGTTCGCGTGGCCCGCTTGCTCGGCGATGTCGCGCCAATCGGGCTTGCTGGAACCCTCAGCGAGGCTGTGTGCCAAGAGCATCCGCCCACCTGCCTGCAGCAAGCGCCGAGCCGATCAAGTGCTGCAGCACGGTAAGATATAATGCTCCTGCTCCTCGTTCTCACCTCCTCCCCAACGCGCTCCCACTCATCACCCTCCTCGTGCATCATCCTGGTCCTTACTACATACCGCTATATACTATAGTGGGGATAGGCTGCAGCCTGACCGAATGATCTCGGTCTCGTGAACCGCCTCCCTGACGTCGGCGTTCAAAGCCCTCTGCACGAAGTTCTTGAGGCCCTTCACTTTGGCCACCGCGTGCTTGATGATCAACCACGTCAGGCCCTTTTTGACTGCCGTCGCAAGTTGCGGATGCAACGCGCGCAGCTTTTCGGAGTCGATGTTGTCCCGAGAGTCTGCCAGCGCCTTCACTGTGGTCGGCGCCTTGGCCAGCACGCAGCGGAGGAAGACGTTCGTGTGGGAGCCGCCCACTGACGTATACCGCAATGAGTCCAGCGGGGGGCACCGACCCCCGCTGAGCCGCGAAAGGCGGTCGTTCGCCATCGCGGTCTCTTCCAACTGCGCCCCCTGCGGGGCCTCGAAGGCAGTGGCTGCAGCCGTCTTGGCCAAGACGAAGCCCTGGGCGCAAATCTTCGCGCCTAAATTGTGAGCCCGCGCAGGGTTCACTAACGAACCGCTGCGGTTCCGAATGTCGATGCCCATCTGGTTCGGTGGGACCTGCTGGTAATACGCTAGCCCCTCCGCCAGCAGGAACTCCTTCAGTTGATCCCACCCCGATGCCAACCTCCCCGAGGAATTGCTTTCCTCGATGTACTGCAAGATCTGCTCCTCCTGACGCGCCTGCAGCGCCATGCCAGCGCTATATATAGCGCCGAATGCAACGTGCGAGCCCGCGGGCGCGACGGCGGATGCGGCGCGCGGCCGCAGCTTGAGACAAGCTGTCGCGCGGCGTGCGCGTGAACATCGACTTGCATGGACATGCAACTTGCGAGCAAAAATGTTGATCTGGGCTGCAGCCCGAGGCCCATGAAGCACGAGCGCGCACGCGCTGCAGCGCGATGCGACATCACGACGACAACCATTTTTTTGCGCTGCAGCGCAAAGTAACATACGTGCTATCAAATTTGGAGCGCTGCAGCGCTCAATGCGACCATTGAAAAACAACGAATACAACAAAACATAATTGACATGTGCATTCAAATTCCTTGCAAACGGAGCTGGGCGAAAATGAAGATCCGAACAACGTGCAACTAGAAAACATGCATTTAACTCAACATTCAGCGCTGCAGCGCTTCATATTCAGCGCACGCAGCGCTTCATGTTCATATAAATCCGAAGGCAGCGCTGCAGCGCTTCTCATATTTAAAGCAAAAATCCAGGACACCGACTCCAAATCAAAATGCAAAATTTGTAGCGCTGCAGCGCTCAACGAACAAACTCAGCTCTTTCAAGACGTGGATTTACCTTTTTTCCCTGTGCATGGCCCTTGGATAACAAGTGCAATGTAACCGCTAAGTCACTTATAACCTACTTAGCAAACTAGCTATAAGCGGTTATAAGTGGTTAGCTAAGTGCGCTAAGCACTTAGCTAACTGGTTATAAGTGGATAGCTAAGTACTTACTAAGTCATTACTAAGTGGGCCACTTAGTAATGACTGAGTAAGTACTTAGCTAAGTCCGCTAACTACTTACTAAGTACTTAACTTAGCGTAGTAAGTATGTTAAGTACTTAGCAACCGCCGCGGCCATCCAAGCGGGGGGAGGATTCGAACCGGTAGTGACCCCTTCCAGTTTTCCGGAGGGAGGGGGGGTAGGGGTGAAGGGGGGGGGCTGTTTTGCCGGGGGGAAGGGGGGGGGTCCAGCAGGGAGGGAGAAGATTTTCGAAAGAGGTGGGGGGGACCCCAGGTTCCGGAGGAAGAAGGGGGAAATTTTCTATAGTAAAGCGGCGGTGAATCACGCTCTCTCTCAGTTCCGAGGTCCCAGCAGGAAGAGGGAGAGGGAAAGAGAGGAGGGAGCAACAAGGAAGAGGGGGTTAGGTAGGAAGATGGATGAGAAGGAGGAGAAGGAGGAGGAAGAGGAGGAGGAGGAGGAGGAGGAGGAGGAGGAGAGGGAAGGATGCGGAGGGAGGACGAGGAGAGGTGAAGAAGGACGAGGGAGGATCATGGCGGATTAAGGAAAACGGAGGCAGACGAGGAGGCAGACGAGGAGGAGGAGGAGGAGGAGGAGGAGGAGGAGGAGGAGGAGGAGGAGGAGGCGCTCAGTGGGCGGCTACGCGTTGGCAGACCGCCTCGCTGCGCCAGGAGGAGTAGGAGGAGGAGGGGAAGGACCAGGAAGGGAGGGGGGTGGAAGGACAAGCAGGGAAGGCCCCCTTCACGCCGGCTTCCCCAGGAGGCCCCCCTCGCCGCGCTCGCGGCGGAGCTCGCTGCGGCCTCCGACGGGTGCCCCTTCCGAGCACCCGACGCCGCCATCGCCGCCGTCGCCGTCGCCGTCCTCGTCCTCGTCCTCGTACTCGTCCTCGTCTTCAGCGGCGTCGTCGTCACGGTCGTTGTTGTTCCCTCCTTCCTCTTGGCTGATCCTCTTGCGCTCCCCGCTCCCGGCCCCCACTCCTCAATCCTCCTCGTACTTCACTCTCGCGGGAGAGTCTGCGAACGAGCACGTGGTGTTCATTCTTCTTCCGGTTTCCCCCTGCAGCCTTCTCTCTCCTCGTTTATTCCTTCTCGTCGTCCTTCTTCCCCTCCCTGCTCTTTCTCGCACTCACCTCTCCTCGTCCTCCTTGCCCCTCTTCTCTTCTCCACTGGTGGTACCCTTCCCCACCGACTCGATGGGGTGTCTCAGAGGGGCTGTCCATCCTCTTCACTTCATCCTCGGGGGTCTCCTGACCCGAGTGTGCCGCGCACCTTCACAGTCTACTCGTCCGCTGGGTTTGTCGGCCCGCCCGCCTTCGGATGATCGCCCCGGGTGCCACAAGCGAGGCCGAGGCGCGCCATGTGACCAGGCGCCGCGCCCAGCCTCCAGGCCTCCGGATACGGCCACAGCAGAAGTCGGACCCTCACGAAGCCATCGCAGGCGTCTTGAGCAGTCTCGTAGGCCTCCTGGGCCATCTTGGAGCCATCTTGGGTCATCTTGATATCATATTGGGCCGGGCTTCGCCGCGGGCCCCGACGAGGCCATCTTAGGCGTCCCGCGTCTTGGCCCTTCGCGGAGGGCTATTGGGACGCCTGGGAGCCATGTTGGGCCGTCTTGATCACACCTCCGGGCCAGGCTCGGGCTCGGGCCCTCGGCCATCTTAGGCGTGATGCGCCACCTGTGCAAGCCTGTGCGGCACAAACGTGCTCCGCAGCTCTCGGCTTCCTTTCCTCTCCTCCGCGCCATCCCTCCATCCCCTGTGCCTCAATTCGCTACGGATGCGCCCCGCCGTCACTCGACCGCGTCTTGGACTCAAGTCGCCGCTGACAATGTGTGTTATCTGGCCTCCGACCTCGCACGTGCGCCATGTTATTGGGGAAGGTAGCCCCCCCCTGTAATCATGACATTGGTCGTCCAGGTGTTCATTCGGGAGTCGACTCTGGTGGACTTGGGGATAGATGTTCGGTGAATGTGGGTTGATTCGGCCCTCAAAGTTATAGGTGTGAGTCCGAGGTGGTGAAATTACCTATACGAGGGGAGGGGGGAGGGAGAGGGGGTTTCATCGAACACTGCCTTTCTCGAATTTTACCCTGCCCAGGTGATCTCGACTTTTACTCTGGCCCGCCGCGGTCTGTCTTCAAGAATTTTACGACGGCGTCCGTCGTTGTCGTCGGTCGTCGTCGTCGGACAGTCGGTCGGTCGGTCGGTCGGTCGTCGTCAGTCGTGGGCGTTGTTCGTAGTCGTCGTTGGTCGCCGCCGTCGGTCCCCATCGTCGTCTTCGGTCGGTCGGTCGGTCGGTCAGTCGGACCGTCGCCGTCGACGTCGCCCGTCGGTCGTCGTCGCCAACAGTCGTCTTCTTTGCCGTCGTTCGTTGTCGGCATCGTCGCCGACGGTCGTCCTCGACAGTCGTTGTCGTCGTTGACGTTGTCTTTGTCGTCGTCGTCGATCGCTCGATTTTTCGGTCGCTCAGTTGCTCGGTCGGTCGATCGGTCGGCCAGTCCGCCGGTCGGTCGGATGGTCGTCGTCGCCGTTGTCGTCGTTCGTCGCCGTCGCCGTCTGTCGTCGAGGCTGTTTGTCGTCGTCGTCGTCTTTGTTTTCGTCGTCGTCGTCGGTATCGTCGTCGTCGGTGGCTCGGCTGCTCGGTCGCTCGGTCGGTCGGTCATCTGGTCGGTCGGTCGGCCAGTCCGTCGGTTGATCGTCGTCGTTCGTCGCATGCCAAGTGGCACTCCTGTGAGTGGATGGAATCAGAAGAGGATTTTCCTCCTCTAGTCATACCGCACACCTCTAGTTTGGCAGCGCGCGCGTCACCACTCCCCGCCACATCTCACTGCCAAGCCGCAGGATTCTCAGGTACCGTCCCAAACGAAGCTTGGCATGGTGCCAGGATACTTTGGCAACATGCTTGGAACACTGCATTCGTATTGGAAAGTGTTAGAATCGGGCTGGACTAGTTAGGCAACAGACCGGGAAGACATGGTATTTTACCAAACGCGCGCTCACGTTCGCCTGCGCATGATTTTTTGTACGCATGCGGGCCAGGCCGAAAGGCACTAGATCTTATTCCAGAATCTGGACTTGGTATTTCACAAAGTGTTCACAGCATTCTACCAAAGCGTCGTCTGCTTCGATATTTGGCGTCTTTCAGAACAGCGTTTTTGCAGTTCGAGACTCGACAGTAGGAATGGGGCGGATGGCGCGCTAGAGTCTTGGGAAGATTGGCCGGCATGCGGATTGCTTGCTGGCGCATGAGATCACGGTCACGCTCCTTGCGAGCAAGTTGGTATTGCTTGGCTCCCATATGGAAATGAGGGTGGTGAAAAGGTTGTTCCGCCTCTTAGTAGATGGTGTCGGAGGACCGCGCCGCATCGGCGAAACATCGTCGATGCGGCCCGATCAGGAGCGCGATCTCTTCTCCACTTGATGCCACCAACGCATCTCGCCGATCGGGAGGCCTCCACTCGAGCTGGGCGTCGTCTTGCGTCGCCGTCGGGCCTCGGCCCACCCTATTGTGTCGCGGCGCGTCACCTTTCAATCCTAGGCCAAGGACCGGTGTAAGGAGGCTCGTCGCGAGCCTGCGGTCCGCAGCCCCTGGCCCAAGCCCGAGGGAGACACGAATCTTGCTGGCCGCCCCCAGCCGCTTTCGCGCAGCCACGACGCACTGCAGAGACGAGGACGAGGACGAGGAGAAGGAGGACGGACCTGTGCCCCCCCACTCCTCGCGGGCCGCCCAGACACGGCCAGGCCTTCCTAGCTTGGCGTGGAAGGCATATACCCAAACATGCACGACATGACTTGTCTTAATGCGCGGCCCCAGAGCCCTATATCCAGTGTCAATGGTCATTGTAAAGAAGGTGGCCCCGGAGGCCGAGATCCAGGAAAAGCATCCAGATTGAAACAACCATCTCGTCCGAGGTTTGGGTTCACAGATGCTGGGCCCAGGACAGCCGACTACGCTTCGACTTCGGCTTCGTGAGTCTAAAGTATGCCCGAGGCGTTTTGTTCGACAGCTCGGCGTGTTAGAGACATGTGTTTCGTTTTCAGGTCTCAGCAAAAAGCTGAAAACGATGAACAAACAGAAGGTTGTGTTTGTGTCTTAGGTATTTTGTTTTCCATCGTCGGAGCCCGCTGTGGACGGGCCGTTGGCCCCCAAGCTCGGTCCGCACCGGTGTCAGACCGGTGTTACAGCGTTTTTTCACGTATATCTAACCTCATGCCCGTGAGAATAAACACTAGGGGATAATAAAGTTCGGGGTTCAGGGAGAGATAATAAAAGTAGCCCAGCAGACCTCAGCATAATCTCGAAGTAAGAGATGATCAAGAGGAGACCAAGCCGAGCACGTTTTGAGACATCCTTGGCGTTTAGTTTTCATAGAAATATCCTCAACAATGGCTTATCTCGCTGGAGACATCCTCGACAAATCCCTTGTTTCGCTTGAGACATCCGCGAACTATTGCTTATTTCGCTTGAGACACAGTCAAACTATTGCTCAGGCGGGCGGAGGAATGGAGGAAACTATGTATAAAAAAGAAAAATAAAAATAATAAATAATAAAATAAAAGAAATGATAGGAGGAGGAGAAGGACGAAGAGAAGAAAAAATCTCGAGTTTCAAATCTATTAGATTTTATGTACAAGCGCTTTATGAAAATTGTTTTTTGTAAGTGCTCGTGTAGGGTAGCTCATGTGCCTCAATTTCCATGGATAATCAACCCCAGAGATAAAACAAATCAGGCGAGCGTGGGGACAGAGAGGAATATAAAAGAAGAAGAATACAGTAGAAGAAAAATAAGAAAGAAGAAGAAGAGGATAATAAGACGAGGACGAAGAAAGGAAAAATCCAAAGTTCCAAATCTATCAATTTTAATTTGCAAACGCTTTATGAACATTGATGTTTTTAAAGTGCTCGTGTAGGGTAGCTCATGTGCTTCATTTTCCATGGATAATCAACCCCAGGGATAAAAAAGTTCAGGCGAGCGTGAGGACATATAGAAATATAAAAGAAGAAGAGGAAAGTAGAAGAATATTAAGAAGAGAAGAAGAGAAGAAGAAGACGAGAAGAAGAACGGAAAAATGGAAAGCTCCAAATCTATCAATTTTAATGTACAAACGCTTTATGAAAATTGATTTTTTAAAAGTGCTCATGTAGGGTAGCTCATGTGCTCCCCTTTCCATGGATAATCATACCCAGAGATAAAAAAAGTTCAGGCGCGCGCGGGGATACATACCTATATAAAAAGGAAGATAATAAAACATATAAATAAAAAGAAACAACTTGCTGGTTTAGCTTGAAACATCCTTGAGACATCCTTGGAACATTGCTCGTTTCGTTTGAGTCTGCCTCCCAAAATTTTTGGTTTCGCTTGACACATCCTGAAAAAGTGTGGTCGCTTCGCTTGATGTTGCTATATCAACATCGCTTGATGTTGCTATCTCAACATAGCGTTTCGAGGTGATAATGAAGTTCGGCCTCAGCGCTCGCCGCCCAATTTGAATTTTGTATAGGGCGACGATAATCAACTCTAAACACTGAAGGGGGGTCCCTTTATTATCATCGGCATGCGGTTATATGCATACGCACACACACCTTTTTGAGCTCTGCGCGCGGGAACCACACTCAGCCCCCAAGCCATCTATTGATGCTACCATTTGGCGAGAACGGGAGAACGGGAGCGAAGACGGCAGGGAGGACACGGAGCAGAGCAACACAAGCTAAAAACAATGTTCCACAGCGACGGGCCTGAAATAGCGTTTTCGGCACTGACAGAGCCCAAAGTAGAAGACGAAACAGAATTACGCCCAGGGCGGTTTTAGACGAACCGAGCGATTCGTTACGATCCGATTCGTCGGCGGGGGCCGCGATTCCGATCCGATGCGATACGATTCGATTCGATTTGGTTCAATTCACGGGCATCGGCTGGGCCAGCCATGGCCGGGCGCAGCGATCCAATCACGGTTCGATTCGGGACGATTCGTTGGCGTTTCCGATCCGTTTCCGATCCGTTCTTGTTCCGCGATTCGATCCAGCTCAGGCGTGCAGGCTGGGACGGCGCTCTGGTTCGGGCGCGGCGGAAGAGGAGGAGGGGGAGGAGAAGACGAAGAAGAAAAGAAGGAGCAGGAGGAGGCGGATGATGACAGACGCTGCAACATGTTTGGATTGGAGTCCGCTCAACCCTAAAAGGCAGAGGAGGAGGAGGTGGATGAGGAGGTCGGAGGTCGGAGGTCGGAGGTCGGAGGTGGAGCAGAAGGAGGACGGGGAGGAGGAGATGTAGGAGGAGGATGGAGGAGCAACTAGGAGGAGGAGTAGCAGGAGGAGGACGAGAAGGAGAAGAGGGAGGAGGGACGCGCGCCTCCCACACCTTGGATTCGTTGGCGATCCGATCGGGTTCCGACCCGATCGAATTTTGCGATTCAAAATTGCATTAGGCCTGCAGGATCAGGCGGCGCCCCAGTTCGGGCGTGGGCCTCCTCGCCAGGAGCCAGAGGAGGCGGGGGAGGAGGAGAAGAAGGCGGAGGAGGAGGAGGAGGAGGAGGAGGAGGAGGGCCGCTGTGAGATCCGGCTTTGCGGAAAGATGTAACATCGCGAAACATCACGATCTGAGCTGCATGTTTCGAACCCAGTCGATCTGTGAGGGTCCCAGTCCCAGGGCCCGACACTCAGGGAAAACGGAAGAGGAGGAGGAGGAGTATGTACGTGTAATTTCCCCCTGCCCCATGCGTGCCGCCGAGGCACGGGTGGGCCCTCCTGGCTAGGCCTGGAAGGCATGTGCCCAGACATCCCACGACATGTTTTTTGAATGCGCGGCACGAGAGATTCTGACCCCTTCCTTGGGGCATGTTTTTGGCCCTAGCTTCCTGTTTGATGGCCCCAGGGTCCAGAAACGAACCCCAGAGGCCGACATCCAGGAAATCGGATCGTCGGTGATTTGCTTGCACCGATCCTGGGCCCATGATCGGACGGCGCCCCGGTCCCGGGCAAGCGCGGGCCTCCCCGCCGAGGCGCCCGCCGCTCGCGGTCCCCGCGCAGCAGGACTTCCGCCGCATGCGGAGCCGCCTCGAGCGGGCCGACGGCCTGCCGCGCCCCATCCGCCGGGGGGCTTGCGGCGGTGCTTGCGGCGAGGGGGGGGGGCACCCCAGACAGCAGGACCCGTGTCGGTCCGATCGGTTGGATCCGATGCCGATTCGGATTTTCCGGCGATCCGACGCGGCCCGAAGCTCGCATGGCCACGGGGGGTACGTTCGACCTCTGAGATTCTGGCTCTGACTTGCTTGGTCACAGCAGGTGGTTTTGCCTCGAGCCGAGCCCTGGGATACTCACGACGAATCGATCCAGCTCGAGAAATGTTGTAGAAAGATGTGGTCTGGGGCCCTGGTCGTGATTTACATTATGTTAAAACTTGTTCGTGACGTCGGAAGCGCCCTGTGGCCCCGGAGAAGGCTGAGATGAGCCTGCTGAGAAGGCCCGTCCCTCTCGGACACCTGGTGGTTTCTGAACCGCGGCCGTTCGGGACTGTCCGAGCACACCTGGAACGCTCTCGGCGAGGTGCAGCTCCCAGAAAGCATCCCGAGGCTGGAACGCCGCCGAGAACCGACGAGCCCCCGCCCCCCCCCCCCGCCGCCCGGCCACCCTTCGCGAGACCTTCCCCCCGGGCAGCACCGCCAGCACATGGTTGGAGGCGGGCCGCTCTATACTCTCTGCTCCTTTCCCGCCCCGCCGCTGCTGCCTCGCAGGTGGCGCCTCTGCACGACTGCGCCCCTCGGCTGCCAGGCATCGCCGAGGCCCAGTGGCGCTGAGACGCCCCCTCCTGCACTGCGGGGTAGCTCGTGCTGTGAGCGGCCAGTGGCCCTGTCGAGGACGTCACCCTGTAATTAATGGCGCCCACTCCGTTCCAGCTCGTCTCCCCCCCCCCAGCCCTCGCCTCGCTGACTTCCAGGCCCCTCGCCGCTGCTGCGGCCTACTATCACGGGTGCTGGGGTATGGCGCAAACCCACGTCCAAATAACCCCCCCTTCCTTCCTTGTCTCCCTCCCCCTCCGGTCCCCTCTTTTCCGGTACGGAGCGCCTTGTGCATCACCTGAGGAGCAGCGCCCCCCACCGCTGTCGCTCTCGCGTGCCGCCGCCGCCTGTAAAGGCGGGCGTTCGCGCGGAGCGGGAGCTTGGCAGCCGTCTCGCTCGCTCGTCTCTCGCCTTTCCTCGCCTCGTTTCGCCCTCGAGGCCTCGAAGTGGCAGCCGCATTGTCAATCCAATAACAAAAGCTTGCATCAACATATCTAATTTCGCGCAGCTCCGCACGGACCTCCGAGAACTTACGGGTATATAGTTGTTTCGTTGAGGTCAAGACTCCGCCCCAACGCCCTCCCCCCCCCCCTCCCCCTCCCGCGCCGCACGCGAGGTGCCCCCCCGGTCCGCCCCTTCCCCTGCTTGCTTGCCCGCTTGCTTGCTGCCCTCCCTTTGCTCCTGGGTCTGGGGGCCGCGCGCTGTTGTTCAGAGCATGCTGAACTGGTGCTGCCGTCTGCTTCCCCCCTTTCCTCCTCCTCCTCCAAACTTGAGCACGAGTGGTGTTGGGAAAATGACTGGCTTCGGGATTGCAGCTGGTTCGCAGTGCAAAAAGCCACCAAGGTGGAACAACACTACTCAAAGCAACGCGTTCGAGAGTGGCGACAGGCTGTTGCAAAGTCCACTGAGCAGGAGGACGCCAAGTCACACAGATGCAGCAAGCTACCAACAAGGTGGGCACTAGCTGAGGTACACCCCACACTACGGGCATCAAGTCCCATGCGACGACGCTCGACACGGACCTTTAGCAATGGCTCCAGATCTGGAATCATGATCTTGTTGCAGACTCGTTTGGCGCAGGGTTGCGTACGCAGGAGGTTGAGGATGAGGAGAGTATGGCACCATTCGAAGCAGAGCAGATCAGGAAAGTAGCGCTGTTCTCTAGCGCAAGACGGTCCCTGGCATTGACAACCTGGGGCGCAGGAGCATGGCATTGCTTTCAGATGAGTGCCTCAATGCTTTTGGCGGGGTCATGGAGGTAGCAGAAAGTAGTGGAAGTACCCCCCCCAGATGACGAACACGGTCTTGCCACGTCTCCCACAACCTCAATGGGGACACATATTGTTTGGCTTGATGACGGACACAATGCGAGTATACAGTCGATGCCGACGTCATGTACAGCGCGTTTGGCTTCGAGAACATGAGAGACCATATCACTATGCCACATCAGGCAAAAGTTCGGAGAGGGCTGTTTGGACACAGTCTGTCTTTGCAGTGGCAGGCCGAGCTCTGATGCGGCACTCGATTACGGTTATGCTGGATTTGAAAGCCTTCGAGAAGATCGCACACGCTACCCTGTGGGCGATCGGCTGCAGGCACAAGTTTCCAAAGCGCAGGCTCGCCATGCTCATCAAGACCTATGCAGGGAGAAGGATCCTCAAGTTTGGAAAAGGTCGCCTCCAGGTTCACTCTCATTGACCAAGGGGTCATTGCTGGATGTTCGGGTGCTACCACCATGATGATCTTGATCACGTGGGGAGCGTGCGACCATGTCTACACGCTGTGTCCCTCTCTCACGGTCAGTGTTGTCGTTGACGGTGGTAGTTTGCAGGCCTCGGGAACGGAGAAGGATGCAGTACGAATGATCATAGCGGCGGTGAAGTTGCTGCGCAGACTGCTGACGAAGTTGGGACTGGAGCTGATCCTGAGCAAAGGTCACGTCATTGCGACGACGCCGAGAACGGCCAAAGAAGGTACCATTACATTGAACGGTTGGGCTTTCAGACGAGCAACAAATGGTCGACACATTGGACACGATCGACGCCTGGGAGGTGGAGCCCGGATACCTAGTCATCGGAGTCATGTGACAGTTGTCGGGCGCAGAGTAGCACGATTCCGTAGGTTGGCCCAGGGCGGCAGGGAGATGGGTACGCTGTTTCGCTCTGGAGGCCTGGCATCGATCGGGTACACAGCCAAGGTGCAGGGCTGCAAAAGGTCAGAGCCCTATCTGGTCATGCGCTTTTTGGTTCGGCGAAGGCAAGATGTAGAACGATGGGGCTTTTACTTTCGCACGGTCGTAGGGCAGACCCTACCTACATAGCGGACGGGTACCCACTGGTGCACTGGCTCAAGGCAGAGTGGGAGCAATGGGTCAAGCCCAAGGCGATGGCATTGATTCTTTAGGCTTACGCCACACCGCCGACCCCTTGTTTTTTTGTTGAGGCAATCTTGGACGTCTTGGGGGCGTCATGGCCCGACTTTATCCCCCGAGCCAGTACGACTCGAAGAATGCGGGGGAGAGGCTTTGCAGGGCGTGCGCCCGCAACGAGAAGGGTGGGCGGAACGAGAAGGCGGATGCAGAGAATCGCAAGCGGAAAGCAGAGGCGGACGCGAAGCCGCTGACGTGCGCGGCGTGCAAAGGCGCGTTCTCGGACACGAAACATTTGAAGCAGAAGCAAGTGGAACATCATCGAGCGGCGACAGGAGCTAAAGTGGTGTGCAGAAGCTGCGAGGAAGTCGGGTTCACAGCGCGCAGTTGCCAGGCTTATCACCGCAGCGGCGCGTGCAAGAGAGGACTACCAAAGTCGGCGTTCCCCGACCCGCACAATGTCCCGCGCGACGCAAAGAAGGGCACCCTAAAGTGCAATGCGTGCAAATGATGCCCATTCGGTTGCGCGTACTGGGCAGAAAAGGGAGGACGGGAAGAGGAGGATGGGGGGTAAGGCGGAAAATGGGGGGGATAAGCATCGGTGAGGATGAGCTGAAGCGGGGCAGGAAGAGGAGGAGGGGAACGAGGAGGAAGTGTAGGAGGAGGAGGAAGAGGAGGAGGAGGGGGACACTGAGATGAGGCTCCGGGTTATGGGGCTGGGCGCGACTCGAAAAACAGGTGTGTTCGGAGATGTCCGTTGGGATCTTGCGGGGGGGCTTCTTGCGGGCCTCTTGGAGCAGTTTCGAATGCTCTTGGGGGCCGTTTTGGGGCCTCTTTGTGGCTTCTTGGGCGCCTCTTGGAACGTTTTGGGGGCCTCTTGGGGGGTTCTTGGGGCCTCTTTGGGGCCTCTTGGGGCCTCCTGGGGGCCTCTTGGGGCGTAGGGCTGGGTTTTCCGGTGCGTGGTCTCTCTCTGGAGTCCGGGAGATTCTTGGGCCGTCTTGGGCGGCTCTTGGGCCGTCTGGGGGCTCTCGTGGGCCGCCTTGGGCGGCTCTTGGGCCGTCTGGGGGCTCTCCTGGGCCGTCTTGGGGGCGTCGTGGAGGCCTCTTGTGCCGTCTTGGAGCAGTCTTGGGAGCTTCTTGAGCTGTCTTGGAGCGTCGGAAGGCCGAAAAGCCGAAAATGACGAGAACATCAAAAAAAACCAATGAAAATCAACGATTTTGGCCTCTTGGGGCGCTCCTCGGGGGCCTCTTGGAGGTCTCGTGGGGCGTCTTGGAGGTCTTTTCGGGCGTCTTGGAGCCCTCGCGGGGCGTCTTGGAAGCCTCTTGGGGCCTCTTGGGCGCTTCTTAGGGCGTCTAGGCGGTCTCTTGGGGCGTCTGGGGGCCTCTTGGAACGTCTGGGAGGCCTCTTGGGGCCTTTTTGGCTCGTATTTTGGCCCTTTTGGGCCCGGAAGAGCGTCGTGAGTCGCTCGTAGTCGGCCCCCCCCCTCCCCCCCTCCAAATCGACCGGACCGGGTTCCCGGGGGAGGGGTTTGGGGAGGGGGAAACATCTCACACGCCGATGCCCCAAGGGGTCGGCGGACTTTTATGCATTCGCAGAACCACACGCGGTCGTGGCAGTCAGCGCAGGGACCAGCGGGGGCAGCACCCGTGACCCTCAGGCGCATGGGTTGGCGAGCTGGGAGGTGGAACCTTTGGTTTACGGTGCGTGGCTCGAGAGCGGAATTGGATGACATAGGTGTTGGCACGCCCGAGACGCTGATCAACACATCCACAGAAAGGCGGCTTTTGGAGGCAGTGCCAGACAGCCTCGTCATGGAAGGGCTTACGGGACCGCTTGTTCTGGATCCAGCCTTGGAATTGATTGCTAAATGACGGCGGCAAGGAGGTTTCAATGGGCGCAAGACGCTCGCGGCTGGCTGGAGGTTTCTTTGTCCTTTAGGCGACATGCGGTGCAGGAGACGGAGATTGCTGTCTGTGCTTTGTGTGGAGTGGAAGAATATACTGATGTGCATCGATGTTTTCGTTGCGATGGACATCGGGTACGAAAGGAAGCTCACGCAGTGGGGACGCACTGGAGATGGGCAAGGCCACCCGTGCACGATGGTGTTGTGCAAAGGTCTATGTCCCGATACCCTCTTCCAGGTACCTGACGCTGTGCAGCACCACGCCGTTCGATGGCATGTGCGCACAGTATGTTGTCTTATCAGTGGAGATGTTGTGCCGACGGCAGCTGTAAATTTCCACGCAGTGAGATGAGAGCTCATGGTGGTTGGGCTTTCTGCATGGTCGATGCAGTTGGTAATGTCATTGCAGCAGCCACGGGACCTGTCCCGTTCCCGCGGCAGACTTCCGGGGCAGCAGAGTTACACGCAGCGAGGCAAGCAGTTCTTCACAAGTCTCAAGGACGGCTTCGCCTCATCACGGGCTTCATGGGGCTCTACACCGGCTGGCAGAATGGTTTTCCCTATGGCACGCGCTCCGATCACCCGTATGCGGAGCTGCGGGTGCATTTCTGGAGAGCAGTCGAGGACATCGGGGCTGACGTGATGGAGGTTGAATGGGTGCCGTCGCATCTATCTCAGATACGTGCTGTGGAGTTGCAGATCCCCCTAGCCTACTGGCGCGGTAGCAAGCGGGTGGACTTTTTACGCAAAGTGTGGAGCCACCATGCATCGTCGATATGTACGACAAGAGCGAGCTCGCCAAACGCGCGAGCATGCGGCAGCGCTGACACTGAAAACTGCGCTGCGCATCCCGCGTCGCTGCTCGAGCGGAAAATTGGCGGATGTTACAAAACATGAGTTTGAGCAGACGCCGCTTGGTCTAACTTCGAGTCATGACAACGGCTACATTTTGCGTAGGCTCAGGGGCAGACGGATTTGCGCGAGAACCGTGCTCGTCGGTGCGATTTTGTGAAATTTGAGCTGTGGAGGACCCCTTAAGAGGGTCCCACGTGGATCATGAGTCGCACCGTCTCTGGAAGACGGGCCCGATGGTTTGGTGTGTAGATTGCGATGCGCGGTGTGTCTGTAGAGCGTATATGAAAGCCAGACACTGTTTGGGCAGACCTCTCCTGGGTTCTCCGAGGCACTTTAAGAGGAAGTACCTTATCCAGGCGATGGGCCCGCCAGGCGAAAAGGTAGGGAACGGGTTTCATCGGTGCCCATCTCGCCTCGAAACTGATTTCGTAATGGTGCCTATGATTATCGTTTCTGCTTTGGTGCCTCGTTCTCGGAACCCTTCGTCGTAATCGGAACCCTCCTCCTCCTCTCCCTCCTCCCCCATCCTCCTCTTCCTCCTCCTTCGCCTCTAGTAGTACGTGATTAAGTCCTGGCTTTTCGGAGGGACGGCGCCTGGGATGGCCTCCCCGCCGCCAGCCGCCCAGAGCGGGCGACGTGTCGCCTCAGGTTGTGATGTGGGGGTGTGCGAGTGTCATGGTTTCGCTGCGAAGCACCACCTCGGAAGGCTTCCCCGCCGCCAGACGCCCAGAGAGTGCGGTTTGTCTTCGCCCGTCTCTCATCCTCGGCCTCGTTTTCGTCGTCCCCTCCCGTGTCCCCCCCTTCCTCCGGTACGCGGAACGGTGTCAGTTTTTGGCGGGCACGAGAGGTGGCATTCACTCGTTTTAGTCGTGGTTTGCAGGGCGCGTGGTTCAGCGCGACGGTCGTCGCACGCGTTCTTTCTCCCCTCCCCTCCCATTCCCCTTCCCCTTCCCCCCTCTTCCTTTGGCCTCGTGCTGGCATCGTCTCACGATTTTCAGTTGCACTGCTAGTGGCTCAATTACTTGGGTCAGGGGTGCCCACCCGCCATCATTCATTTTTTTGTCGGTGACGGACCAGTTTCAGAAGGATACCGTCGGTGAGGGCCCACGAAAAATTAAGGACCACCTTGGGCCCATGAAGGCTCTAGATATCCACCGTTCCTACGACATTTAGGTCGGGGAGTCAATTCGTGGCCAAGGCTCGCCGTGGCCAGAGTACCTTTCGCTCCTTATTCAGCGTTCCTCAGGGCGGCGCGATGATTGCAATTACCACGGACAGGGGCGCTAGGGGCCCCAGAGCCTCTTTGCCTCGGGGGGGGCCTGCCCTTGCGCCACCAGCCTTTTCTGCTGTCCCATCGGCTGGCTGGTCCAGCCCTCGGCGTTCCGAGCGCGCGTGGTTTCCGGCATCGGAGGGCGCGCGGGGCGCGCGCACGTGCGGGCATCGTGGTGCATTGGAGCAGGATGCGCGCGCCTGGGGTCACGAGCGCGCGCACCCTGTCCGCGCGCGCACCTCTGCGCCGATGGGCCCCTCCCTCGGCCTCCTCGGCGGCGTAGCTCTCGGCAGCGGCCCCGCCAGGCGGGCGTCAACGAGTTCCTCCAGGCCGACGTGGTGCTAGCTGTAGGCGGTGGCCTCCTTTTGGGCCGAGGGGGTGATCGGTACGCCGAACTGGCGGCGTGCAGAAGATTGGGTCTGGCGAAAGGGGGGGGGGGGGAGGAAAGCGGGGCGAGAGAAACGGCCGTCTTAGAAGGCAGGGGGCTCGTCAGATGCGCTCGGAGGCTTCCAGGAAGGCCTCTCAGACGACAGGCGGGCTTTTGAGGAAAGCTCTGCCCGTCCAGAAGGCCCCCGCCTCCCTGCCCACCCCACTGTGCGTGCCGCCAGCTGATCCTGGCCTCCTGGATGGGGAGACATCCACCACCACCACCACCACCTCCAGGGCCTCAACAGGCCCAGGAGGCGCCTGGACACCCCAGCACGCTCCAGGAGATCCTGGGAGAAAGGACCCAGCGTAAGTAACTAGTTTACAAAGGACCGTGGCCCACGGAGCGCGGACCCAGCGTAATCTACGAGGGAACTTGGCCCGGGTCTTGGGGGATATCGCTTCCAGGCCAGGCCAGGGGTTACATCCGCCAGGTCCTTGCCCCATGTGGCAGCGGAGACTCAGACGTGGACGGGCCGTCCCGCGGGGCTTCGGAGGGCGCTGGCCGCACGCATGTCGCCGAGCACGCCCAGGCACAGCCCTGGCCAACGGATTCCCAGAGGTCGCAGGCAGGCAGACGATTGTCCGCAGTGGTTTTCTTATTATTGTTATTCCTCATCTTCTGCTTATTGTTGTTTGTCTTCCTCGGATTATTCCTATGTTTCATCTTTTTCCTCACACTCTTCCTTTCCTCACCTCCTCCCCTCGCCTGCCCTCCCCCTTCCCTCCCCCTTCCCTTTCCCTCTCCCTCCACGCATGGCAGCCTCCCTTCCCCGTCCCTCTAGCTGGTCTTTTTCACACTACCTTGACCTGGAGCTGGACCGGGGCCCATCCAGCCTGGGCGTTTCCCCTGTCAAGCCATAGTATGTGGGGCACGCGCGCATGTTCGTTGTCAAGGAACAGTGGACTACGCCTCATCTGGCACTGGGCAGTTCCTGGAATGAACAGGATGCAGCGATGCGAATGCGTTGATCCTGCACATGTGATTTAGAAGGGCACCTAGAATTATCAAAATGGTGCAAAAGGCGAGCATCACGGGCGCGTGCATGCCCAAGTAAATGGACTTCGCCAGTGTTTGGACCATGTCATGCCAATATACCCAGAGTTGAGTGTGTGTATGTATATGTATGTATATATATATATGTAGAGAGAGAGAGAGAGAGAGGCTGGGTTTTCTGAACTGTGTTGTGTGCTCCCGCTGGCCGCTAAATGGAGCCCCCAGAGTCCAGTCAGTCTGTGTGAGGCTTGAATGTCTGGAGCGCAGGGGGACGGAGTCCACTCCGTATCCATTTCCGCTCAAGCTCTTTTTAGGCGGCCGTGCAAGATTTCCAACGTCTCGAGTGTTGTCGGCTGCGGCGCGGGCCTCATCAGTTCGCGGGCCGTGGAGCCCGCTCTCGCGTCGGTGCTAGCGATAGTGGAGCAGCTGGGGACGGTGCCCGACTGCGCGCTCGTGGGCCGCGTCTGCGACGGCCTGGGCCCCCGCGGCGTGCTGCTGCTGGCCATCGGACTGGGTGAGAGCTGCGGCGCCACCGGCACCTGTCATGTCTGCGAGCGCCGTCTTGTGAGGCGGATTGCGGGTGGCCATCCTGTGGTCCGTGGGCGACCTATGGCCGATCCGATTCCCGCTCGCAGAGGCCGCCGCCGGCGTCATGAAGCAGGATTTGGAAGTGGACCTGACTCCAGATCGGACGAGGGAGAATCGAGCGTGGATGTGCCTCGTGTCCGACGGGGATATCTACGCGCACATAGTGGACGTGCCGCTCCTCGCGGGGACCGCAGGCTTCGGGTCGACGGTCGACGTCGTAGAGGACCGAGGCAAGACCCCCCGTATTTTTCGTCGGCAAAGATGTGGGGCGCGCCTTGCGCCTGATCTTACTCGGAAGTGCAATCAACGCTTCAGAGAACCCGAGTATACGCAGCTGCCTACCGCGGGAGCGTGGCAAAGTGCGCAGTTGGACGACAGTTGCGATCTCCACGTGGCGCAGCTGGACATCTCAAACGCCTTCTACCGTATTCGACTCCCGCCTGGTCTGCATGAGCATTTCGTTCTGCCTCGGCTCAGTCGCCAGGCCTGGCTGTCCGTCGCGCCCGAGCTGGCTCACGTGTTGCCTGCCGGCAGCTACGTGTCTCCGCTGCTGCGGGTTCTGCCGATGGGGTGGTCGTGGAGCCTCTACTTCTGCCAGAAGATTGTGGAGGGCGCTGTATTCCCCGTCGGCTTCCAGCCCAGCCAGCTCATCCAGGATGGGTGCAGGGTCTCGAAGCTTACGGCGGCGAGCACGGCGGTGGGGATCTACGTCGACGGCGTCGCGGTCTTCAGCGGGAGCAGGGAGCCGGCGCTGGAGGAGTGCGAGAAGGTTGACGAGGAGCTGATGCGGCGCGGGCTCACCACGAAGGGCGCGGCGCCGCCATGCGAGGTGCAGAGTTTCACCGGCCCCACCTTCAACGCTGCCTCAGGCAAGATCAGCCAGTCTCGCAAAAGGCTGTGGCGCTTGAGGCTCGCCCTCCTGCACGCCGCGGACTTGGGCTCCATCTCGGGAACGCAGCTGCGCCGCCTGGCGGGGCGCGTCACGTGGGCCGCCATCCTCCGGCGCGAACCCCTGGCCGTGTTCAGCGCGGCGTGCCGCTTCATGGACAAGGCCGGGTCGCGACGCTGGCGGATGCGGGGCTCAGTGGAGACGGAGCTTCGCCTCGCGGCCTCGCTTGTGTGCCTCGCGGAGGTGGAGACCAGGATGCCGCGCGCAGACATGGCCTACGCCGCGGACGCGCATGGCGGCTCCGACGGCGACTACGGCGGCTACGGCGTGGCCAGGCGGGCGCGGCAGCCCGAGGAGGTCGTGACCACGGCTTCTGCCTCCGAGAAGTGGCGCTACCGCATCGAGGAGGAGGTCGCGGCCCGCGAGGCCGCCCTGGGCCTACCACCGCCCCCTGGTCGCCGGCCGCGCCGGGCGCGACGGGGGGGGGGGGCGGACTTCGAGGCCGTCGGCCGCGAGCTCATCGGCCAGCTCCGCGACTGGCAGCTGGCGGTGAGAGGGCGCTGGGCCTGGCAGCAGGACATCGGGCGCGCGGAGGGCCGAGCGCTCGCGGCCGGCGTCCGCCATTGTCTGAGAAGTCTGCCGTCGAGGAATCAGCACCATCTGTTCTTGGTGGACAACATGGGGGTCGTGTTGAGCGTTGGGAAGGGGGGATCGTCCGCTTTCGGCATCAATCGCACGTGCAGGGAGTTGCTTGCGCTGAGCATCGCCGGGGACATTCGCATCTCGAGCCGATGGATCCCGAGTGAGTTCAATCCTGCCGATGCTCCGTCTCGATGCCCCGGAGCCGTCGGGCTCGGTGCCTTTCGGGGCCCACGCTCTGCCTGGTTCGGCGCATCTCTTCGCGCTGCGGCGGCCGACCAGTGGGGCCCTCTCGACTTAGGCCATCGACGCCTACATCGTCGAGCGCCACGGTGACGCGGCTGCGGCCAGGGCTGGCGCGAGCGGGCCTTGGCTGGGCGGGCCCGAGGGCGAGCCAGCAGGCTTCTGGCAGCAGGTCAACGCGGCTGCGCCGTTGGGCGCCCCTGGCCCCGCTGCCGACGAGGAGGGCGACTCGTCCAGCTCGGCCTCGAGCGGCTGTCGCGATTTCGAGTTCGACGGGGCCCCTGCCGAGTTCGGGGCCAGAGCTCGAGCGCCAGCGGCCCGAGCTGTGCGAGCCCAGGCGCGGAAGAGCAAGTTCGCGGCGCCGAGTTGGCAGGTGCGAGCGCGGAGTTGCACGCTCCTGGAGCTGAGTCGGGCCCGGACGGCGCTGGAGAGGTTCGATGCGTGGTTCCACCGCCCGAGGGCGGCCACGCGGAGCTCGCCCGAGCTGGCCGCGGCGATGGCCATGGCGAGGAGTTCTTCGACGGCTGCAGCCACGACGCGGGCGACAGGCTGCTGGCCACGGTGCTCCTCGAGAGGCCCGAGCTGCGGCAGCGCGGGCAGGGCCTGCTGCCGCGCGCGGGGGACGCCGCCGCCGCCTTCCGCAAGTGGGCGCCGGGCCAGGCGCGGGCCCCGCTGCCGCGGGGGGGGCGCCTGGCGCTGGTCGGCGCGGCGGCCTGGAGCGGCCGCCTCGAGCTGGCGATCGCGCTGAGGGCGGCGGGGCACGCGTGCCTCCGGCTGCCGTCGGCCGAGAAGCTGGGGGGGGACCTTGGCGGCGATGCGCGAGCGGGCGCCCAGAGGCGACCAGCTCTGGAACTCGGCGCCGGCCACTCCCGAGCGGAGTTTGCCCGGCTGGCGGAGCTGGCAGGGATGCCCAACGCTTGCGGCTACCAGCGCAGGCACGAGTCATGACCACGATTGAAACCACCGCCTCCGTAAGTTCACATAAAAATCCAGGACGGGCGGAATTCCGCATTTGTGGGGCAGCGTTTCCCACTTGCGCTCATGGCCCATTCGGCACTGCGCGCAGCTCAAGCAATTACGTGCGCCAGTACTTCAAAACTTACCCTGGCAATACACCTTGAAAGCAGCAAAAAGTGTCATGAGAGACCTGTGGAACCTGCAGGACATGTGGGACTATCGAGGCCTGCAAGACCAGATGGGGCTGTGAAACCTGTGGGACATGCGGGGCCTGCGGGACCTGTGGGACCTGCGGGAATTGCGGAACTTACGAGACCCGCGAACCCTCCGGGGCCTGTAGGACCTCTCGGACTTGTCTGACCTCCGGGACAAACGAGCCCTGCTGGAGCTGTGGGACCTGTGGGACCTCGACTTGTGGGACCTGCGGGACCAAAGAGACCTGCGAGACCTGTGGGATTTGTGGGGTCAAAGGGAAATGCGGAACCTGTGGGGCCTGTGGGACATGAGAAACTTGTGAGACTTGTGGGGTCTTTGGGGCCTGTGGGGCATGTGGGACCTGTGGGACATGTGCGGCTTGTAACACTTGCGAGACCTGTGGGAATTGTGGGACTG